TGATCGTAGGTGTGGTGGGAAGCCAAGCAGATTTTGCACCCAGAAATTATTCGCGGGAGGCGTGCGGTCCAACGCGATGACTCGACGATGTTGGGAATGCTTGCAAGTGTGAGGGGGGGGGCTGCTGTTTGCATCCTTGCTCCTGTGATGAAGGGGGTCCTGGCAGGATTACTCACACACTATATTGACTGTCGAATACCTATTGTCATATGGGAGGGCAAGCGTTAGGGACAATACGTGCAAAACGCAAAGCGTAAAACTCGCAAATCACAACTTTTCGCCATTTTTTGTTATGTATTGGCCCGGAACCCCACCCCCTGTTTTTGACGCCGAAGACTTTTTGCCTGGGGAGTTTTTGGGACTACAAGAAACTGGGTTTGTCGCCGCTGTACGCGGAATTACCCAGCTTTATTGGTTTTTCCGTCTGGCTGGGTTTTATCATTGTATTGACTTTGATAGAGTGTCACGTTTCATTGCAACATATGCTGGTAGAGCTTTTGTCTTATGACACATCTGCACTGAAGTATTATAATTTGTATTCGTCTCGAAATGTCGTTTAATAGTTATTTTTTGTTTTTTTCTCTACCGAAGATTATCGCCTGTTCTACCTGTGGTTTCGTTTTAGTCGTGTTTCGATTCGGTAACGCGTATGGATGATTCTCCTTACATCAATCACAATTCTGGCATCTCTCTGCTCTCTCCTTACTATTCAATGAGGGAATGTGGTGAATGTACGGACCCATCTGCTCAGGATGCTCAAGACCTAGTAGGGGTTCCTGCCGTTTCTATGCATCATCTCTTCTCCTTTCTTTAGATCCGTAAACATAAAAAGATGCGAATTACCCCGCTGACCGATGACTACAATCCAAAGGATAATTTGGGCGATCAATATCTATGCGAATATGAAGCAACTCTCGAAGTAAGCGATTAGTCGTTTGTGATCAATATGGAAGCTTCGTTTAAAATACTTTTTTTTTGAATTTTTTTTCAAGTTTACTTTGGGAAGTATCTACTTGCAAGCGTGGTCACTCATCTGGTGCTTTTAGAAGTTTAGCTCAAATTGGAACGAACATGAGCAGTTGGATTTCATCGAACGCATACTCAATCGTATGTCCCATAATCAGCTGTTCTTCACGCATAAGTTGATTCAGCCAATGCTGCAGCGTGATTTCATCGCATTACTCCCACGTAAGTCTTCCTCCAGTTTCCTCTTTTTCGTGAATGTCTTCATAATCCATTGTCTGTTTTCATAGCAGTGAACAGTTCCACTGGT